GCTGGAGTCAACACTGCAGGTAGCAAACCGCAGTGAGAGCAGGCGGCCCCTTCCTGACTGCCCCTCCGGCGCCTGGCCGGCCCTGCTCCTCTGGGGCACTGGCGTCACTCAGCTGGAGACTCTTGCCCCTCAAGAAACACTTAAAAATATCTGAGGATACACTGCGACAACATGAATGGAGCTTGAGGACGTCATGCTAAGTGAAATAAGCAGAGAAGATACATACCGTATGATCTCACTTGTATGTGGAATCAACAGAACAAAACAAAAAACCCGAATGGACAGATACAGAGAAGAGGCTGGTGGTTGCCAGAGGCGGGGCTGCGGGTGAACACAGTAAGTGGAGGGAGTCAAAAGGTGCAAACTTGGGTTACAAAGTGAGTCCTGGGACGTAAGGCACAGCAGGGCGACTCCAGTTACCACTGTATCGCGTATTTGCGAGTTGCTAAGAGATCTTAAAAGTTCTCATCAGAGGAAAATCATTTGTAACTGTGTGTAATGTCGGGTGAATGAGACTTAGTGTGGTGATCATTTCATGACCTATACAAATATCGAATCACTACGTTGTACACCTGAAATGAATATAATGTTGTGTCTATTATATCTAAATTAAAAAAAAAAGTAAATCTAATAATAATTAGCCCTTTATATAAAGGAAAAAGGATACTGGGGAAAGCATTAGGTAAGACCTTAACAGTTAAGTGTTTTAATAATAACAGAGGCACACAGGAAAGAAACTCAGTAATTTTAACCACATGGCTTTCTTCCCTTGATTCAGTTATAAGGGAAGAAAAATAAAATCAAACCTGGATGGCTCATCCGAGTCTCTGTAACAGCAATTTTCTGTTTAACTCTCCTCCCAAAGACATGGCACGTCTAGGCTAATTATTATTGCTGCTATTTTATGTACAGTATTTTTTCCAAGAATAAACCCATAAAGTTCAACTGCCATAGAATTGTTGTTGCTCCTCACTGTTGTTTTTTGCGAATCTAGGACTGAAAACGCCTGCAGAAGTAAAAGGGCAGATGACGGCCACGATGCCACCCTCCCTCGGGCTGTGGAACATCTTGGAAAGCACAGCGGGGTGATCCCAGCCCGCAGTAGGATGACCTTGACCCAGCAGCCAGGCGGCACTGCGCACACACGCCAGGTAGTGAACAAAGAGGGAATTTTGGTTTTGTTTTTCCATTCAACAAAAAACAGCCACATCTCTATCATGTCAGGTGGACACAGCTACTTTTGGAGCCATCTAAATTGATGAACGCACGTTCGACAGCAGCTAATGTGGGATCAGGTTATAACAGTCGCTGAATTGCCGAACTGTAAAAGGATATTATATCCTTTTTTCCATTCCCTTTATGTGGCCTTTGCTGGTTAAAGGACAATGATTTCATGGGAATCTCTTATTTTAGCCATGCGATAAATTAAACAATGGTTATTTCCTTTATAAAACCTAGTACTATCAGGTGAAAAAGATGATATTTTAGCCTTAATATCATCTTACTGTGTGCCCAGTCTTTCCTTTTCCACTGATTTCTGAAGGCAGGTGAGAAAGAAGAAGAAAATTCAGGGAAAAAGGAGGTGAGTTTTTTGGGTGTGCTATGCTATACATTGTTTTCATCGATTATTAAAAATATACTGCCCTGGCTATTTTGGCTCAGCAGTTAGAGCATCGGCCCTCAGACCAAAGGGTCTCGGGTCAATGCTGGTCAACCTGGGTTGCAAGTTCGATCCCCAGCCCCATGTGAGGTCATGCTGGAGGCAACCAATCAATGTGTCTCTCGATGTCCCCTCCACCCCCCCACTAAAAGATCCACTGGAAAAATACCCTCAGGTGAGGGTTAGCAAAACAAACCAAACTTGGTGATGTCCCTGTACTTAGCAGTGTGCTGTGTTCTCTGTGGAACTGGCGAAAGGCATATATGAAAGATGACAGCCCTGGCCGGTTTGGCTCAGCGGTTAGAGCGTCGGCCTGCGGTCCTGAGAGACCCGGGTTCGGTTCCGCTAAGGGCACGTACCTCGGTTGCAGTTTGTCCCCGGCCCTGGTCGGTTGTGCGGGTGGCAGCCACTCGATGTGTCCCTTCACATCGATGTTTCTGTCTCTCTCTCCCTTCCTCTCTCTCCCTCCCACTCTACCTGAACAAAAAATGGAAAAAATGTCCTCTGGTGAGGATAAAAAAAAAAAAAAAGAGAAAGATGACAGAAGTAAAATGCCGTTTTCTCCTGAAAAACTACAGAAACAGTTTCCCTGGGTCCTTTTCCTACCCACCTTCTTGACTTTATACGAGGCTCACGTGATGAATTCAATGACGTTTTATACTTACAGCTAAGGCAGAGGCAGACCACAAAATACAAAACAGCTTCCGGCCAAAGTGTGCGCCCCGCAGACCTGAGTCACCCTCTGGCCGGCTTTTCCAGCGCAGGCCCTCGCCCCGCCGCCAGGCCCCAGCCGGTCTGAGACCAGGGAGGGAGCAGCTGAGAGGCCCGCACACCGCGGCTTCTTCACAGGGCGCAGATTTCCACCCGCGGAGGCAGAGGGACCGGGAAGCACCCCCTCGGACTTCCGCCTCGTCCAGGAATGACCCCAGCCCCAGAGAAGGGACTGACCGACCGTCTGACCAACAGGCAGCACATCACACACAGCCAAAGGTGACTGTCCGCAGACTGGTACCTGGGCTTGACTTCCTCCGTTGCCGCTGCCGGCGCCCCCTCCGCCGCCGCCGCCGCCGCCCTGCTTGTGTGGCTGGGAGCCCGTCATCTCGGCCATCCTCCTCTCCATCTGCTCCAGACGCTCCAGGATGGACATCCTGAACTGGTTGTCTAGGCGGACAGGGAGAGCGGGGTTTGTCCCGAAGCAGAGCGCCCACGTGGCCTGTGCACGCCTGCAGGGCCGAAGCCGGCCATCGCCCAACCCCAAGGTCCGTCCAGGCCGGTTCGTCCCGCCCGAGTCTGTCCAGCGGGGCATCTACAGGCATCTACCGTGGCCCAAAGTTCTCAGCTACTCGGACCGAAAAATCCCTTTTTGTCCAGTCCTGCTTCCCGGTTCCCAGAGCCCCGTCTCTGTCAGCCCAGTGGCAACGTGAAAGAGGGGCCCTGAGCAAGCAGATGAAACGGACACAACATGACTCACACCAGCAGAAGTACAGCAGTCACGGGGGAAAGGATTCAGACACATATTTTTAAGGTAGTATCTGTTTTCCCCAAACCCTGGGAAAAATGATCTTATTTCCTGATCCAGCCTGGAGCTGTTACAGTTTATCTCAGGAGTTGCAGCATTCGGTGCCCGAGACCCGAGACCCTCACGCGTGACTCAGACTCGTCAGAGAGAAGCAACCAGGCGCTGCACCCCGAGGTAAGGGAGACAGCAGGGCATTACTGTTGGAGCCAGAGCTGTAGCAGCCTGTGATTAGGTACCACTACTGGGATTGGAACATCTCTCCACATTCATGCACGTGCACACACGCGTGGTCACTCACACATACACGTCTATTAGAGTCGGGTTACACAAATATGTAAAATAAAAAAAAAAAGGAGCAAAGACCGTTATTAAAATCATTAGCAACGACACTCATTCAACAGGTTTTAAACAGTGCCGGCCGGTGGTCAAGCAGTGAACCGGACACAGAAGGCGCTTCCTGCCCCGCCAGGTGATGCAGGAGGCTCCTGAGACAAGGAGGCGGTGGGCGGGGCGGAGGGTGGGTAAGTCAAGAGGGTGACGCTGAGTCTGACCAGGATGGGACAGAGCCAGGCCGCCATGGCTGGGGTGAGGCGACCGAGATGCCGAGGCCCCGCGGCAGGGCGTTCACGGGGCAGGAACCGCATGGCTGGACCGCAGCGGGGAGGGGCCAGGCAGGCGAGGGTGGCCAGGTGGCACCGACCAGAGAGCACACAGGTGAGCGCCCTGCTCTGCCACACGCCCGTTACAGCGCTTCGAAGGAGACCGTGGGGTCTCCGCTTCCTCGGCTCCTAAACACGGGCAGTCAGAGGGCGTTTGTGAGAATTCAGTGGACTGATGTATGTACGGAACATGGTTACTTAGAGAAAAGCGAGCTGGCCACCATCATCGTCAGATGACTTCAGTGTCCTCGGAAACTGACAATGTCTGTGCAACGCGCTTCTCCCTCAGCTTGCTAGTGGGCAGAACAATGTTCAAAAGGCAGCTGAACCACGGAAAGGAATAACCCAGAAAAGAAACATTTTCCGTGTTCCTTGCCATCCCGACGACACATCCTAATGCGGGTGAGTGAGGCTTATTGATCCTACAGGTGAGAAAACAAGGGACAGACCTGACGCCTGCAGAACACTTCCTACGTGCGTCACCGTTTCAACCGATCTGCAGATATGAGCTCATTTCTGCGTCTCGATGACCGTGTGAGTCCGGCGCCGTTATCACCCTCACGTTACGGGTGAGGAAACCGAGGCTGAGGACATAACTGGCCCGTCCGGCTCGAGGACCCAGTGTCACGGCTGTAGGTTAACAGCAGGGAGAACAGCTACGGAAGGGAAGAGGCACGAGGCTCAGCCTTAGCCTGGGGACATTTCCTTCTAGTCAAAAGACAGGACAGCCCTGGACGGTCTGGCTCAGTGGCTGGAGTGTTGGCCTGAGGACCAAAGAGTCTCAGGTTCAATTCTGGTGAAGGGCACGCACCGTGGTTGCGGTTCAATCCCCGGCCCTGGTCAGGGTAAAGTGGGAGGCCATCAACAGATTATCTCCTCTCTCTCTCTCCCATCTGAAGATAAATGGAAAAATATCCTCCGGTGAGGATTAAAAAAAAAAAAAAAGACAGTATAGACCTGTTCCCCAGGAAAATTTCCAATACTGAATGTCCAATGGATTTCACTTTTCTTAACTACAAAAGCAGGAGGAAGACGACTGCTTTTCTTTTTTCTTTTGTTAATCCTCACCTGAGGATATTTTTTCCATAGAGTTTTAGAGAGAATGGAAAGGAAGGAGAAAGAGACAAACATCAATGTGAGAGAGACACAGTGGTTGCCTCCCACACATGCCCCGATGGGGGCTGGGCTCAAACGTGCAACCCGGTAGGTGCCCTCGACCAGGAATGGAAGTGGAGACCCTCCGTGCTTGGGCCCACGCTCTAAGCACTGCGCCACACCAGCCTGGCTGGGAGGCTTTGCAAGAATTGTGATCATTTCTAATAAGCTATTTCCGGGAACCACACGAAGAGAAAAGCTCTTCCCCTTTAAAAGTGAAAGATAGGGTCTCTTCCAATTTTGCACATGCAGACAGAAAAGACAGACACCAAAGACCCTGCTGCCTGGCGTCTCCGTGGCTCCGTCACCAGTGGGAAGTAACCCTGGATGAACACGCACGGGGTGAACGGTACATGAGCCATGTCACGCTGTGACCACTAACGGCAAACACGTGATGATGTCAGAGGGGCAGTGGAGTCCGTCCTCCGTGCCCCCTCCACTAGGAAAACGAAGCTTCGCAGACCCCGACTCCTGCGTTCGGAGCTAGCTGAAGACGAGAGGTTCTCTCAGTCAGACTTCGGTTCCTAGCAGCATGGCAGTTATCCTTTGTGGCACTTGTAGTGACTGTCCCTCCGACTCCTGACTGTGCCGGCCAGGTGCCATCCCTCTCTGAACCTACGCGTATACTCCCGCGTCCCACTGACACGGGTGAAGCCTCTGCCGCCATCTGACTGTCTCTTCTGCAAGCCCACGGATCCTGCATCTGTTAAACGAGTGCTCAGGATCCGTGTCGCTTGGTCCAGAGCACGGTCTGCACCGGTTTGGAGCTGGTGGCCAAGACTAGCATTCCTTGCCACGCAAAGGGGCGGAAGGGCACAGGGAGGGCTGCCCAGCTGTGACCATCCCTGTGATCAGCCCTGAGGGAGCACTGCGGGCCTGCTGGTGGCCACTGCTCCCTGTCCGAGGTGGCTTTGTTCTGGCTGTGCTGCAGTGCCCTGGCATGTCATCCTCGCCCCTCCCCCTGCCCAGGGTGGACACTGCAGAGACAGACAAACCCTCCCTGACATCACGGAGCCAGGCCCTGCCCACGGCATGGCGCGTCAAAGCACCCCAGCGGTCACCGCGACTCCCCGTCTGCCACGGACTGACGTTACTGGCTTCCGTTCCCGGGCTTGTGTTCGGGCCGTTCCCCCAGCGAGCTCTGCAGGGAGCTCTCTGAGGCTATTAAGCTCCTTTGAGACGCACTTCATGAAGATACTCAAGCAATTATTTGCCTCTTAACAAAATTATATCATGCATTACGGCATCTCTGAGCCTCTCAACGCCAGAGGGGGAAGGGAGTGATAAGTAATATAAGAAACCATCTCGAATGGAAATGAATGAGCTGGCGTCCCCAGTGCTGGCTGCAGTGCTGGCCGACAGGAAGCAGAGGCTGTGGTCATGTGTCCTCTCCTCGGAGCGGGGCCAGTCACGGCTGCCTGTCCCCAGGCTCACGCACACACACACAGAGATGGTCTCCAACGCCTCCCTTCCCGCAAGTCAAATGAAGAACTTCACGCTTGCTTTGGTTTGACGGCCTCATTATGACCATTAACACATGACTGTAAAACAACTTGGCAAATTCAGAGCTATATATACACATGTATATCTCACCTTAGCTGGATATATACGTGTGTGTGATTAGGGGATAAAGGGAATATGATGTCTTAGAAAAAGAAATGTTTTTTTTCTGATTGCATTAGAGTGAAACAAAGTACATGCAGAGACTCCTTTCTCCATGCACGGATACCTGCGGAGCACCGGCTGTGTAGCAGGCCTGGGAGGGGTACCCTGAAGATTAGTGAAGATAGCCCTGCCCTCATTTTTGGCCAACAGATCATTGCTACAGCCTGAATGAGCCTGGAGTCTTAAGTTACTGTGTAGGGAGGTGGGGAGAGCAGAGAGAGAAAACAAGTAGTAATCTAGGGGGCCGATCAATCTGGCCCACTTCTCACCCGTGATGTTTCAAACAAGGCCAACGGTGAGTCAGCCTGGAGGGATCCGAAGCTCCACGTCCCCAGGGCAGCGAGTGAGGCACGGAGCTCTGCCTCGCGAGAACAAGGCCACACGGACAGCGGCCCGAAAGCACGCTTCCACGAGCACGCGGGCGCCCGAGGGCCCGCGCACACCCCGCTCCCCTGGCGCTGGGCCCCGCCTGGCAGAGCCAGGCTTTCGGTTCTTGCTGAAGTACTGGGTGCATCCGTCTCACACAGAGAACGAGGCACAAGCGTAGAAAGTGGGATCTGCTGCTGTGAAGGCGGAGGAACCCAAGTCCCGGGCCCTGTCCTGGGAAAACGTCTCCATCGGGAACCAGCCCCAGCCAGGTCCCCAGCTCTCAGCTGCACCCACTGCTCCTCTGGGCTGCACGCAACCCACTTAAATCTTGGCACCTCATCAATTCCCACGGCTGTATTGAGCAACGCAACATGGCAGTTTCTGATAATCTATCAAATAATCTAGTTTAAGAACATGTAAACCCCTCCCCTTTGACCTACAAAATAAAATTTAAACTCTTTGGTGGAGTATGGGATGCTTTTTACCAACTGTCTCCGGCTCCTTTCTGGGGGGGTTCTTTTCACTCGCTGTTCTCCAAATCCACCAGCACTTTTACGCAGCTTTGGCCCTTTGGTAGTAACCTTTCCCCGTGTCCACCTGGAGGATCCCCCCTTCAGAGTGGCACTAACTCACGCCGTCTTCTGATTAGCAGCTGCTATGCGCGTCTACAGCAGGCCAGGTATCCTGTACGCTCTTTCTAATCCCCAACAAACTCCGAAAGAAAGATTCTCCTCTTCACTGTGCGGGCGAGGAGACTGCAGACGCTGTGTCCTCACCCAAGGTGACCTGGCTTT